AAACAACACCACTATGCGTGTGACAGACAGATCAGGACAGGGGATAAGCCAATGAGCCCTGTGGGTGACCGCCCATATGTTCTGCAGGTTGAGAGGGAAAACCCCACCTGCAGTACCATCAACCTAGAATCTGCTCAAGGGCCCAGGGAGGCCGCTTCTCCCCTCCGCATCCTTGATCCTCCACTCATCCTCATCAATGTCCCCAGATGCTGGGTATTTTCCAAACTCCACCTTCAAGCCTTACATTAGCTTCCCCAGGGACCTTAACCCAAAGAGCTTCACTGGGGTCCTGGGTCCAGCCCCTCCCTGTGTGACCTCAAGGTAGCTGCTCCATAGGGACAGAGTGGGGCAAAGATGAAACACTGAGAGACAACTCTCTGCTCTTTCTTAAAAGACAGCAGGCACCCCAGCCCACTAGCGATTTAGCTCAGTTGGTAGAGGACTTGCCCAACATGCATGAGGCCCTGGGTTCAATCCCCAGCACCATATAAACAGGTGTGATGGTATATGTTAAGTTGGGGTCTCATGTAGTCCATGGTGGTGTCCAACTCTATGTAGCTGACGATGACCGACCTTGAACTCCTGAGAGGTGACAACAGGAGATCAGCTACATAGAGTTGGACACCACTATGGGCTACATGAGAACCCCCCCCCCCCAAAAAAAAATAAATAGAATAGAGAGACAGCAGGTACCCATCTGGGAATGTCAGGGAAAGGATTTTGCTAGAAGGAAGAGGTAAGTAACAAGTCCATGAAGAGTGCTGGGAGCCGGGTGGACTATGGGAATAGACACAAGCATCATAAGAGGTAAAGTGGTCCCTACTTCCACGGCATACGAGCTTAGGCCCCCGAGGTCAGCAATGACCTCTAGGATGACAGCCAAAGTCCTCTACCTACCACTATATAAACACCGCAGCCCACTGCAAAGGAGTCCAGGAGGAGTAGGTTAACCTTAAGGGCTCAAGGTACACACAGAGGCTCTGGACACATGAGCGGCACACATGCATGCACACGCACAGACATTCTCACAAACTCACACACACAAACACACACACACACACACACACACACACACACACACACTCTTTCCCCAAGCCTCAGCAGCAAGAGCTGCCTCTCAGGCCTGCCATCCAGTTAAGGAGTACAGAACAAAATCCATCCTCACCCAGCAACACCTCAGACAGGGGCAGGAACACAACCCATGAAGAATGGATAACCAGAACCGGAACTGGAAAGAGCTATCAAGAAGATGAGAATGGAGACCTGGAAACCAAGAGCATAGCAGACCACCACGAGAGGGACTGAAACCAAGAAGAGCGTCAAAGACTGGACCAAGAGCAGCCCCAGGGTGTGGCCCTGGCAGCAGCCTCCCTCCCAGGCCTCAGCCTGTGCTATGGCCCTCCGTTAGAGACCCCTTCCTCTGCGGCTTCTCACCCTGCCCCTTCGAAATGTAACTCAAGTGCTGCCCCCTCCAGGGAATCTTCCTTGTCTGGCCCCACACTGTGCTGGGGTGACTCCTGAGATCCTGGACCCGGAGGCACCCCAGGGCCTCACCAGTGCCCAAGGCAGAGTTCCAGGACCTTTTGCTCTTGACTTTGAAAAACTTCCACTTTGGCCCTGACTCTGACAGGATGGCCTTTGGCCCAGTGTCACAGTGGGCCAGGGCCGACAGGGGATTCCCAGTAGGCCCTGGGAAGCTGTGCTGTCCCTGCTTACAGGGGAGCCTGAACGACAGGGGATTTCACAAGGTCCACTTAGACCAGCAGCTTGTTATCTTCCTTAGGGCAGCCAGTAGAACTGCCTTGAATAAACTGAATAATAAAAATGACCAGTGAAGAGGACGGAAGGCCATGTGTCCACTCAGGAGCCTCGGCAAACCTGCGCATTCAAAGTCAGAGCACACACAGTAAACACAGAGACACGTTTCTCGGGTGGTTCAGTCCTGCCAATCAGAGCCACTCAGAGGGACAATGCGTACTGCCACGCTGGGCCCACCCTGTCCTTCTCTCCAGCCCCAGTGTCCACTGAGGATCCAGAGCAGCTGTGAGGGCCTGAAGGCTTGGTGCCATCATCTCATGGCTCCTCGTGAAGTTCACCCTGTGTTTGTGACCAGCCACATTTCCCAGGTAAAGAAAAGGAGATTCTGAGCGGCAAAGACTCTCCCGAGGTCTCACGGCCAGCAGGCAGTGCAAGCACCGGCAGGCTCTCACTCTCCAGAGGGGTTCAGCCTCCTTCAGCAGCTTTTTACCCAACACTCTGTGCCAGCTGGTCTCAGGGTCCAGGGGAGGCATGATGGCGAGCAGGGGCAAGCAGTGTGTCTCGGAGCTTGGAGATAAGACGTCAGAGGCCCTGTGTGGGACCCACCATTTTCACAAGGTGCATCCGCAGCTCTTCACACACAGCCTCCTGAGAGCGGATGCTCACCTATTCACAGAAGGGACAGCTGAGGCTTAGATCAGGAGAGCACCATGCTGTGGGCTCCCTTCTCTGAGCACAGCGAGGGATACAAGTTGGATCTGGAGGGTTATAGCTCACCTAGTCCAGTTCCCTCAATGACTCAGTTTCGGTATCTCAAAAATGGCTGAGGATGGTACCCACCTTGCAGGGTTAAAGTGAGGGTCTGTGAATTAGATGTGTAGGACCCTCTCTGAATGGAGCCTGGCAACGCTGTATAAATATTTGTTTATGAGATTAACTACGACGTATTTATCAGGTTCCTATGCATGGGCATTGTTTGACAGGCACTTGGTACGTGGTGGTGTCCTAGGACACCACCACACGCCATGACACGTCTGTCTACCCGACTCCGAGCTCCAGAAGCAGAGGCTGTCTGCTCCCTGGTTCTCAGGTGAAGCACGTGGCGCACGCTCAGTGGCAGCCATGAGGCTGACTTCTCAATCACATTCACCAGGCTCACAATTCCCAGCAAGAGACAAGAGAAGACGGTGGCCAGTTCTTGATGCCCAGGCAAAGTTCACAGTGCTGACCAGAAGCAACATGTTAGGGGGTCCCCAGCTCCCATGCTGCTCACCAAAACATTCTCTGCTTCTTCTTGCTTGTATTGTTAACATGACCTTCAAGTCATTGTTCTAGGGACAACAGGAACCGTCCCTGAGAGCTTTGGCTGCACAGTCAGCCTGACTTCAGTGTGCAATGAGGGGTCCCATGCCTATCCCGCTAAATGGCTGCAATGGGCAGGCTGAGATCTTTCGGGGACCCATGAGCAGGTGTGCACTTCTGTATGCCCATGTGGTAAGAACACTGAACAAGCATCTCAAGGGCAACCCAAGACAACCCTGCTCACCCAGCCGTGATGCCCCCACCATAAGCCCTGCTGACTCAGTCAGGAGTTCCCCCCCCACACTAGGGTCCTCTCTGAAGAGTAGGGGGCTAGATGGCCTGTAGGGTGGCTCAGAGTCTCAGCTGCCTGCAGCCATGGTGACTAATTTGCTACCTGAGAAATCACTGCTATAAAGTGACAGTGGGAAGTCACCACAGCCCAGTCTCCGCCTTCTGTTCTGCCACCCGCCATGGCAATATTGTGACAGGCACTGGAGAAGATCTTTCTCCGGACCAGGCTAGCTCCTGCCTCCTCACCTGGGCCAACCTTTGACAGCTTCCTGGTGGACTGAGTTCACAGCAGGGCTGAAGCAAGGGACTAGCAGAGCTCCTAGGAGACCTGAGGAGGTTCCTGCACCTAGAGAAGTCATCTGGCTCATCCCTCTTCCTTTTGAAACAGTCTCACCATGAATCCCAGGCTAGGCATGGACTCACTAATGAACTCTGTAGCCCAAACTGCTCTCAAACTCTCAGCAAGGCTCCTGTCTCAGCCTCCCAAGTGCTAATAGAGAGACAGACTGAGGTGTAAGAGAGAAAATGGGCCTCATCTAATCCAGACGCTCCAGAAAGGTCACAAGGAGAGCCCAGCATTCACGGGTATGGGCAAGCCTACCTCTCCCATTCCCAGGTAGACAAGGTGATGCCCCCACCACCCTTGGGCAGGTCTGTGCAAGGACTGGACTCTACGGGGCTCAGGCAGCCCACGCCACCATCTAGAGGACTCAGCTAGGTTACAGCTCTCTAGAGGACCAGGTGCTTTTGCTGGTTTAATGCTGGGTGACAGCTCCTCTCTTACCAGGGACTGTGAGCAACCATATCCTATCCAGGTAACAAGCACCGGCCCCCTGACATGGATGGGAGGGTGCTTCCCTGACATGGGTGGCCATTGCTCACCAGCCCTCTGGCCCTAGACCTTCCCTGAACCTCCTAGGATCGTGTACCCAGAAGTGTGCACAACCCCTAAACTCCTGCCCAGTCCCCAAGTAGGCACTCAGTGCTCATGCCTGCACAGGGTCCATCCAGCTCCTGCAACACCCTACAAGCTCTTCCCACGGAGCTCTGTCTCAGGTATATAACCTCCTGGAGCCATGTGAGCCCACTGGCACCTCCCATATCCTGGGCACAGAGCTTAGCTTCTCCTATTAATCCAACTGATTGATTCTGGCTTTTTGAAACAAGCTTACATTGTAGCCCTGGCTGTTCTGGAACCCACTATGTAGCCAAGAATGGCTTCAAACTCAGAGATCCCCCTGCCTCAGCCTCCCTAAATGACAGATGTATGGCACCACAATGGGCATCCTTCCTGTTCTAATGACGGGAAAACTGAGAGGGGAAGAGGCTCAGCAGCTAGCCCAGGTTCACACAGCTTTTCACTATTGTTCGAGGCCCTGGCATCATGCCAGCTCATTGAGTTGCTGCCTTGAGACTGAAGCCAGATCTTCTGATTCCAGATGTTGACCCTTCGTCCCAGGATACCAGACCCCTAGATGCCAAGTCTGCGCTATCTGACCTCCCTGTCTCCTGGATGCCTAGTAGCGCACAGCAGCGAGACTCGCAGTCTTCCCAGGCTGCACAAATATTTACTCAGTGTGGACTCTGGCCGGTCTGGCTGAGCTAACTCTGTGAACACCAGAAGAAAGCTGGGAGCAGCAGAGCTCGGGTGCATTGGGGAGCAGACACATGCTGGGCAATCTGGGTTCAGAGTGTGGGGGCTATCAGGTAGGAGGGAGGAACTTAAGTCTCAGGAACACTGTGGGCTCCTCACACCTTCACTCCTGAGCACAGGGGGAGAGAGGGTTGTCCTATCTCAGGCCTCCAGCCATCTGTGACACAGAACTACACAGGATGCCAGCCTGGCTTCATCTCCCCAATGCCAAAGTCCCAAACTCCAGGATCTGATACCCAGCGGGGTTCAGATTCGTTCTGCTGGAAGCCACGGAGTCTGGTTGCAGCAAAGGACACGTGCTCGATTCTGCTAGATTCTGCTCTACCCTTCCGTGTCCTTCAACAGCGACATGACAGGACACGGTCAAGCTGCAGACCCAAAGCCAGAGAAGAAACCAGGTGCTTGCATGCATGTGTGAGCGCGTTTGTGTACGCCTGCGTGTGACTGTGCATAGCGGCCGAGGGTGGGGGTGGGTAGGCGTGCATCCGGTGGGGCAGGCAGCAAAAGCCTGGCCTGCATTCCTCTGGGAAGGAAGGAATCTTCAGAGTCAGCTGTCCCCTGGTTTCCCTTCTTTTCTGGGACCTTCCTCCCCCGCCCTCTTTCTAGCTCAGGGCTCCCAAATCTGTCCCCAGGGAGTGTGCCTCACTGGCCAAGAGACTCAGTAACCCGGTTCTCCAGTGAACTGAGGTCCTAGAAGGAGGGGGTGTGGGTGTGGATTCCTTTAAGACAAAGGGCTGGTGGGGGCATTGGGAGTTCCGGAGGCACAAATCACTACTGCAAATGGCCAGACTGCCCTTCGGCAGGACAAAGAAGCAGCCCGGCTTCCCTCCAACCCAGCACCATCTCTGGCGCCTTCCACGGGACACAGAGAGAGGCAATGTGCCCTGAAATGGATTTGCTGGGCGGCCCAGGGCTGTGCCCAGAGGCCCCATAAATTAAGGGAGCAGACTGTGTGGGCTCCAGTGCAGGACATCCTCAGAGCTTCCCAAGGCGTGGAGGCCTTCACAGAACTAAGTTACTCCTTCCCAGCATCCCTCTGTACAGAGGGGCAAGTTCAGAGAGGCCAAGAGACATGCCCAGGGTCATACCGAATGGCAAAGTCAGAATTCGAACCCTTCCCCACCCTCCCAGGCCACCTCACTCAGAAATCAGAATCAAAAACCTCTATTATTGTGATTTTCCAAAATTAAAAAAAGTATCAGTGGCTTGGGGACAATCTTCTGAGGCAGTCTTTGGGGCCTTGGGCATTGAGGGGCCAGCTCCCACCTGCTGGAGGACCTCCCTGGGGCATGCTGGGAAAGGGAGGGACACTCAGCTGCACTGCACAGCCCTTTTTGGAACCCTCCATTCTAACAGCCCAGCCGCTCCGGTCACAGTCAGAAACAGCTGTGACCTATCCTAGGAAGGCGCTTTTTAAAAAGATTTTGAAAGCGGCCACATGAGAAGGTGGCAAGGAAGCTGTTGAGAAGGCTGGAGGCAGATGTGGGCATCACCTCAGAGTTAGGATGAGAGACTAAGTGACAGAAGAGTTGTTTAGAGCCACCTGTGGATGGCAAGCTTCCACAGGCCTCAGTTTCCCCACCTCTGAAATGAAAATACACAGCTGAATTTGTGGTTTCTTTTGCTTTTGCCAATAGCAATCCGGTTTCCATACAGACTATCTTTTAGAATCATGGAAAAGTAGTCTGTGGTTGGCATGTGTCAAATTCCAGGGGCTCAACCTCCCAGTGTCCCCAGAGCCCATGAGGCACCTTACTATGGGCTCCAGGGATCTGAAGCACCCACTTGAAATCCAAGACAAAAGACAACACAGGTCCCTCAGACCCTCCAACAGCCTCCACTCATCCCAGGTACCAAGGACAAAGCCAGCCAGGAGCACATAAACCCTGTCTGTCTACCCACAGTGAGGGGAGAAAACCAGCCAGTCCTTGGTCACACTGGGACTACAGGACAAAGGGGGACACTAGAAAGTCACCCTGCCCTGCAGGCAGCTGGACCGCCTCTTCCAGTTATTGCTACTTCCTGGAACAACCGTGACAACTTCCCTGATGCAGACAGTGGAACCTACCAAAACTTCTGCTTGACAGCCACAAAGTAACCCAGCCTCCTCCTCCAGTAAATAAGAGGGAAAATCATGGGGATGTACCATGGTATGGACCCTGGTCATCCACAGCAGAGACAGGAAACAAGATGCCCAGAACACAGTAGGCACAAGAAACACAAAGTCATCTGAGAAAGCAAAAAGATCAGCCATGATGCAGACCCAGGGGTCACCCACGGGCGTGCAGGTGTCTTGGAGGCCAATTCAGAAAACCCATGTATTTAAAGTTCAGATAATTTGACAGGATTCTCCCAGGGAAAGCCCCCAACTTGCAAACTCAGAACAAGAGATCTTGGTGGCACTGGGTGGTGACAGAAAGAAGTGTTTGTTTTGGTTTCCAGATCAACACTTTACAACTTTGCCCTCTATACAGTCTCGGTGACCACACTTCCTACCCGGTGAAGAGCAAGTTGGGCTGAAGGGAAACCAGAGAAGGGGTGAGGGGGTGGGGAGCCGGGGCCAGAAGCTCTGCTTTGGGTTGGTGTTTGCAAAGAACCAGCCTGGTATCGCTGATGGTAGACCATGTCCGCCACAGCACTAGGGTGACTTAATGCTTGGTAAGTAAGATGAAGGGACAGACAAACCGGGTCTACCCATCCGTACACGTGACTTAGCAATGATGAGGGATGTACAGATATATGCAAGTACAATATGAAGAACTCCCAAAACACCATCAATGTGAAGAAGCCAGATTCGGAAGACGACCTATCGTGGGATCTCATTTTTGAGTCATCCACAGAAAGCATACAGGTAGACACGGGGCAGGTTGGTGACTGCTCCAGACAATAGCTGTTTGCAAACAGACAGGAAGAAATTGGGGGGGGGGGGGATCCAAGGGTTCTAAAACTACACTCTGGAGATGGGTACACTGCTCTAAATTTTCCTTAAAAAAAATCACTGCTGTATTTAAACTGGTGGCTTTAAGATGAACCAATTCCACCTCAGCAAAACCAGGGAACCACAGGTGCATGTGGAGAGAAACCAATCATGAGACAGGACCACAAAGGCCTGCAGCTTAAAAAGCTGGAAATACTTCTGGCTTATCATTCAGCAGCTGGAGTGGGAGGTCCATCCTGACCAATGACAGAGAACCTGGAGCCCTTCCCTCTCCAGCCAGGACCTCTCCAGTGTTCAGCACTGGGGTTCCACACCAGACGTCTCACGAAGCTTTGATGCCTTTGGCAGTCTACAAACCAAACAGGCCAGCACCATGGTCTCGTCTCCTGGACTGTGACCTCTTAATAGTCAAAGTACTAGAGGAAGACTAGCAGCTTTGATATATTCACTTATTGCCACCCAAATTCCCCTGCACTCTGGGCAAGTGATGTGTCATGGAGTTTTAACCCCAGCACAAAGGCAGTCTCATACTGACAAGCCTAGGCAGCCCCTCTCAGGTCACGTAGCACAGAGGGTTTTTTTTTTGGGGGGGGGGGCAATTGTTTTTGCGTTTGACTTTTGGTTTTTCAAAACAGTTTCTCTGTCTAGCTCTGGCTCTCCTGGAGTCCTCTCTGTAGACCAGACTGGCCTCGAACTCACAGAGACCCATCTGCCTCTTCCTCCTGAGACCTTTTTTTCTTTTTTGAAGTCAACTGTCTTCCTGCCTTCCTCCAGAAAGAGAAACTGCAATACAGCAGTAGATGAAAACAGAATTGTATGTATTCATATTGTAGACTTGAATATATAATAAATTACCTCTTCTAGGCTCAGTGGATGCACCTGATGGGGCAATCGGCAGAAAACCAAAAGCATCTTGTCACTCACAGGTAAGCTGGTACCACCAGAAACTGTGTAGGCATCCTGCCTGGCCAGCAGGCGACAGTCTCCAAAGAAAGAGGCTTTAATTTAAAGTATTAAACATTAAACAGTGAGTGTGCTGGGCTGCAGAGGTGGATCAGCAGCTAAGAGGACTTACTGCTCTTGTAGAGGACCATGGATTCAGTTCCCAGCACCCACATGGCAGCCCACAACTGCCCGTAACTCCACTTCCAGGGAGTTATTCCTCTTTTCACCAGCACCAGGCATGCACAGGCTGCCTGTATATACATGCAGGAAAGACACTCATACACATAATCAATCAATCAATCGTCAAAAAAAATTGCATGCTGATGGAATCAGACACACTGACATCTATGTGAAAGCAAGAACACTTTCTTGACTGCACTAACATTTTCATGTATTTGGCTTTGGCTTTTTCCCCCACTTAGGTTTTTTGAGATAGGGTTTCTCTGTGTAATAGTCCTGGCTGTCCTGTAACTCACTCTGTAGACCACGCTGGTCTTGAACTCACAGAGATCCACCTGCCTCTGCCTCCCGAGTGCTGGGCATAAATGTGTGAGCCGCTACTGCCCGGCTCGATGCATTTGGTTTTTTGTTACATTTATTTATGTGTATCTGTACGTGTGTGTGTGTGTGTGTGTGTGTGTGCATACGTGCCATTACAAATGTGTAGAGGAGAGAACAACTTGCTGGAGAAGGTTCTCTCTGTCCACCATGTGGGTCTTTGGGGTACAACTATGGCCGTCAGGCTTGCCAGCAAGTGCCTTTACCCGCTGAGCCATCTCACAGGCTCTTGCTGTAATTTTATTAACTACTCAAGGAGTTTTCCCCAAAGTATTATCGAGGAAGCCCAGGATGTCAAAGAGCACAGCTATTGTCCAACCACCTTGCTTTTACAGGTAGGGAAACTGAGGCCTGGGTAAGGCAGAACACTCACTTTGGAAAAATCCAAAGCTTTGAATCAACTTCAGAGAAGAAAGGTCTTTCCAGTGAAGAAAAGAAAGAAGGTATACATGAACCTCCCAGAAAGGCGGGAAGAGAGATGCCCGCACCCCACCTGTCTCAGCAGGGCCGGCTCATTCCAGGACAGTGCCAGAAGCTGACATCACGCCCCACACCCTGGGTGCAACCTGAACAGCTCATTGCTGCATGCCAACCCATCTCTAAGCCTGGGCACAGTCTTTCCATCACCTTTGTAGCCAGGGCCAAAAAGCACACACACAATTAAACAAATGTAGCGCAAGCCTGTGTCATGACTACACTGCCAAGGGTGGCAGACAGGAGGGCCAGCCCAAGCTTCCTCCTCCAGTTTCACCATCCAAGGCAACTGCCTCCTTCCCTAGCCTGCCCTGATGGGGATGACCACCAAGGGCAGAGGGTGGCCCCCTGTGAATGGCACAGGGCATTCCCAAGGCCAGAGAGAAAAGCAATGTCCAGCGAGCCAGGCCCTGCACGTGCAGCAGAGACTCCAGGCCTCTCTATACCTTCCTCATCGCAAGTAAGAACATCGACTTGATTATTTTACACCATCCAACAGGCGCCTCACCCCCAATCTACCCTGGAGTTTTCTGTTCCCATTTCCCTAATGAGTAAACAAGCCTCCAAGTAGCTGACAATCCCTCCTGCAGGGGATAGGAGCTAGCCCCGGACTTCTTCCCAGTCAGAAGACATCAGCAGAGGGTGAGAAAGCAAACCCAGCCCCAGCTTCCAGCGAGACTGGAGGAATGAAAAGAATGGCCCCACTCCCTTTAAGAGTCAGGACAATAAAACAAAGTTAGGCACGGGTGAGATAGGAGCCTAGGACCAGAGGGCCCCTCCCCCATGCAGACCTGAGACCTACACATAGTCTCTCTCTCTCTCTCTCTCTCTCTCTCTCTCTCTCTCTCTCTCTCTCTCTCCCTGTATCAGAAAGCTGAGCAGACAGTATTGTTAGCCAGGCTGCAGGCAGAGAGCAGTGCCAGTATTGCAGCCTGGGAATCTGGACTTCAAGGAGTACACTGGCCATCTTGCAGGCAGTCTGCCCCTGACCTCCAGCTGGACCCATGATCTGAGTGCACCCAATATGCTAACCCATGAGTATCTATCCCCTGGGGGACCTCAATAAACCTTGAGACTTGGGAGAATGTGAAGAAAAGGATGACTTTTTTTTAAAGGCTAGAAGCTGAGGTTCTGGATCTTTACAGGCCTGGAACAAGACAGCCAACCTTGGGGCCCTAGGGACAGATCCACCATCTTCTCACATGTGCTCATTAAATTCAAGGACAAAAAAAAATGACAATGTATAGTCGAGAGTTTTTCTTTACACCTGCTATGGGAAGGGAATCTACCACCAACATCTCTAGGTAAATACCTAGCCTGGGAGACACACCAGCCAGGACTCCCATCCATAGATCAAATCTGGACTTGACTTTCACCATGGATTAGCCAAGCGGCCTTGGGCAAGTCACTTAGCACCTCTTCGCCTCAGTTTCCTCATCTGCAATATGGGGACGAGACTGCCTCACACCGCATTGTCATGTGGACAGAATGAGATCACCACAAGTCCGCTGGTTATTACGTCCCTGGGAAACAATGTGCCTGGCCCCGGGGGTAGGCGCCCAGGTATCCTGCGCGCTCCCTACTCTAGCGGGTTCTGATGACAGAGTCCTCCCGGCAGCCCGCAGCCCACCTGCCAGGCCCTGCTGCCCGGTCCCGAGAGCGGCGGAGGAGGGGCGCATCCACTCACCTCCGTTTGTACTCGTCACGCTCGCGCTTCACCTTGGCCAGCACGTTGTAGAGTGCGCGGATCTCTGGCGTGATGGTGTCAATCTGCACGCCCACGCCGTCCGGGTGCACCCACGACACGCCGGGGCCCTGCACTGTCTCCACGCCGCCGCCGCCCGTTCGCCGCACCTGCGTGTAGCTCCAGATGGTCCCGGGCAGGCGGCCGTAGTGCTGCGGGTGAGAGCCGCCGCCGGGGGGCAGGCCGCCCAGGGCTACCGTGTTGGCGTTGACGCCGGTGGCCGCACCGAGGGGCTGTCCGCCGCCCGCAGCCGGCGGCCGCAGCAGTTCGGGCCCGGTCTGCACGGCCTGCTCGCGGGAGAAGGTCTTGTAGCGGAGCCGCCGCTCGCGCTCACTCTGCTGCTGTTCCAGCTGCTTTTCCAGGAGCCGGTTACGCCGCTCCAGTTCGTGCACCTTGGCCAAGAAGCAGCGGAAGCGCACGTTGAGCCCTTTGAGGAGGTGGATGTTGGAGCCCAGATCGTCCCGCAGTGCCGCCGTTACGGGCGAGGGCCCCGGCCCGGCCCCCCCACCACCGCCACCGCCTGCGCAGCCGCCGCCCCCCGGCGGGCAACCAAAAGCCAAGGCCATCTCCCCGAACAGCAGCGAGTTAACCATGCGCCGGCTGCGCGGCTCAGGGCCCCGGGCCCGCGGTTCCAGATGGGGTTCCAGCTCGGGGCCGGGCTCCCGGCGTGGCCGGGCCAGGGCGGGCGAGGGCTCCAGCGTGGCCAGGGTGGTGCCAGATGCGCGCCAGATGCAGCTCCGCAACGCCGGAAGAGAGAGCGGGACGAGCCGGAGGTCGCTGTGGCTGCGTGGAGTTGGCAAGGGGCTTGGTGCCTGTGCCGCGGACTGTCAGAGCTGCTGTGGACCGGCCGCAGCAGCGGCGCGTAGAGGACTCTCGGCCGGCGCTGCCCCCTCTGCGACGGGCCCCGCCCTCTGCAGGCACAGACCACGCCCCCTGGGCCCGTCCTCTGCAGACACAGACCACACCCCCTGCCTGATCTTCCTCTGCAGACAAAGTCCACGCCCCTTCCTGACCCGCCCCTTGCCTGGACCGCCCTCTGCGGGCATAGGCCACGCCCCCTCCGCCTAATGCAGCGATTTCACCCGCTGAGACTCGACTCCCAGGCCCTGCAGCCTGGGCCACGCCCACAGTCCCTTGAACTCCGCCCACCCACAAGCTGCGCCACTTGTCTGCAAGGCGCTATTCGGCTTGCTGCAGTTCAGGCTCCGCCCAGCAACGGCCCGGAAAGCCCTCGCCTGCGTGCGGCGCTGCAGGCCTAGCGGGCTTCAGGTAATCTAATTAACGCAGTCTGCACACGAAACTACAGCGGGGACCGCAGCAGAGCCGGGAGCTGCAGCCTCTTAAAGAGGCTGGCGGTCTGGATCCGCTCACTTCCCCTCCTGGGGAGCCCTCTCCCACCAAGTCTGCCAGGCAAGCTTGACTTCCCGCCTGCCTTCCCTCGGTGCCCCAAATTTCCCTGTCCCAGATTCTCACGCATGCGAGTGACTGTGACCTGCAAAGGTCTGGCAGTCATTGCGTGCAAAGATACATGCATGCCAACACCCTTACTCCAGTCTCCGGCGGCATAGGACGTCGTCCCGTTCCCCTCTAGGCAGATCCAGGGCTTCTCACCCGCCTCTGCCCGCAGTCTTTGAGCCCGCTGGGCCACTGGCAAACTGAGATTCAGGGACGCGAGGTAGGCTGGGGGAAGAGCAAACAATGACCCTCCCAGCATGCCTGTCCTCAGCCCTGTCTAGCCACCTCCCAGCACCACATTCTCACAGGCTGCCATGATGTCGCTGAGCCTAGAACTGGGGGTGGGGGGGTGGGGGAATCTATCCATCATTTCTCCCAGCTGCCTTGCTGCAGTGTGGAGAAGCGTCTATTTAGAGAACGCACCTATCCATCCATCTGTTCATTCATTCACTCTTCATTCATTCATTCATCCAGATGACTTCACACCTACCACCCTAAAGTCAGTGTCTCCTGCAATCTCCAAGCATCTCCTGCCCCCACTGCAAGCATCAGCATACAGCAGGTGCCTACTTAAGTATTAACCACACTTTACAGAGGTCACTGAGACCTGAGCCATCACCGCCATCTCAAAGCATGCTCTAACCAGCCTTCCAAGCTCCTGGCCTTTGATCCTCACCACAGACTTCACAGAGGACGGACACCACCCTTGAATGCCTGTGGCTTACACCGTCAGCTCTTAACCAGATGTGTGGTATGTTCTAGATTCTTCCAGCCACATTTTTTTCTTTTCACTGCTATTGTGTCTTGTTACCAACTTGTGTGTTTGTTGTCTGTGTAAGCTAGTGGGCAAGTACCCTGTCTTATGGGGACAATGCCTTAGTGACAGAGAAGACAGCAGCTTGCCCTGTGCCTCTGTGACTGCCGTGTTTCAGGTTTGGTCATGTTGCCTCCCCTCACCGCCCAGCTCCTTGCCCCCTGACAAATGGCCTCAGCTCCAAGCTCTGACAATTCCCATGCGGCAGTCTTTCTCCTCTGAACCCAGCCCTATATGGTCACTCTTCTCAACTCATGGCCTTTAGTGCTTTCCTTATCTACCCGCTTTGCCTGGAAGTGGGGAGCTCTTGGGATCCCACATGGACTGAGCATAGAACTCTTGAGGGGGCTGTGACACTGGGATGGTCCCTAGAACCACTTTTATGGTCACTGGTCTTTTGAATGCTAGTCAGTGTTTCCTTTGATTCTGAATGACGTCCTTGTCATTTTTCACCCATAGAAATCAGATGTATCTGTATGATAGGTGCTCTAAATATCCTAAGCTACCAGCATTCTGAAAGTTGGACTTACCGCTATATCTGTTTGCTTGGTTTTTTAGTATATGGGAGCATTCCAGTTACTAGGCAAGTCACATTCTTGCCCTAAATTTCATTTTAAAAAATCACTTGTGTGTGTCTCTCTGTGTTGTGTGCAAGCACACACATACCACAGCTTCAAATATTGGTCCTTGCCTTCCACCTTACTTGAGATAAGATCTCCTGTCAGATGCTCTGTATGCCAGGCTTGCTGGCCCTGGAGGTTCTGGTGATTCTCCTGTTTCCTCCTGTCTTGTAGGAGCACTGGAATTACAGATGCTTGCCACTGCATCCGGTCTTATATGAGTCCCAGGGATCTGAACTCAGGACCCCACACTTGTGCAGCAGGGCTTCACCCACTGAGCTATCTCTCAAACCCCATTATTTAATGTGCTAATAAAGAAATAAATACATTGGGAATGGAGATATGGCTCAGCAGTTAAGGGCCCTGGCTGCCCTTCCAGAGGACCCAGGTTCAATTCCCAGCACCCACAGGGCAGCTCACAAAGGTCTGTAACTCCCTCACACAGACATACATGCAGGCAAAACACCAATGCACATAAAAATAAATTTTAAAAAGAAAAGAAATAAATATATCATCATGCAAGTTTGCTTTTTGAATACTTTGGTGACTTGCAGTTTGAACTCTTTTCATTGCATGAATTGTCAGAATGCAAAAAAAAGATATGGTTTTTGTTTGTTCTTTTTCAAGACAGGGTATCATGTAGCCCAGGCAGGCCTTGAATTTCTGGTGGTCCTGTGTCCACCTCCCAAGTGCTGAGATTACAGGCACAGGACATCATGCATGGTTATACACCAAGGCCTTGTGCAGTCTAGGAAAAGCTGCTCTTCCAACAGCAACATCATAATACATTGTTTTATTTGTTTGTTGAGATAGTAAGGACTCTCTGTGTAGCCCAGGCTGGCCTTGTACTCCCAGAGATCCATTTGCTCTGCATATAGATGCTGGGGTTAAAGACCATCATATGCGCCCTCATAGTGCATTCTGATAAAGCATTCTGAGCAGGGACTGAAGACTTCATCAGATGTCTGAGAAGCCCATGGCACGGAAAGGGTTAAAGGGCCATCTTTCTGAAAAAGCGCCATACAAGCTTTTCCAGGAGCACTCCCTGCTGCCAAGTTGCCCTAGCTGGGTATAAAGCCCTCTTGGGGAGGGACAGTCCTGTCCTGAGCACCGAGGGGCTCAGACATCCCATGACCCTGGATGGACTCTTGCTTGAACCATGTCCTGCAATGGAAACTGAGGAAAGAGCTCCTGGAGACACTAGGCCCTCCTGAATCAACGGCAGGGCATGAAGGAGAACATGCTGAACAGAGGCCGGACCTGAAGAGGACCGCAGATCCTTGGGATTGAAGGGCCCCAACAGAGCTGTACCATTGTGCTACCTACAAACAAGAGAGCTGGGATGCCGCTCATTCGCCACAGAGTGGTACCAGCGGTGAGTCGTGTGTCCTGCTCTTTGTGCTTAAGGTGAGAGGGAGAAATACCAACTAGCCCACCAGCTGGGGCACCAGCACCTTCCGGCTTGCCCAGTAGTTGAGGGTTTCCCTTGAAGCAGACTTTCAATGCCCAAACCCAAGATCAGTTGCCCCGCCCTCCAGCCCAGATAGAGCTGGATGCTTCTGAAGCCATGGTTCCTAGCCATCTCTGTCAGCTGGTATTATCATCATTCTGCACTTGTTTGGGGTTGCTTTGGTCAAGCAAACAGAAAGATCTCTGTGCCCATCGTGAGCAGAGCAGCATCTACGACTCTGCCCAGCACCCGCTCCCGTGCCTAAGTTCAGCCTGCTGCCATCCTCCAAGCTTCAGGTTTCAGAACATTCCAATCAGGCTCCTTCTCCAGTGACATGAGAGCGTGCAGTGAGCCATCGTGGCACCCAGGGGAGGGAGTGGTTATGAGTCCTCACAGTGCCAGATGAAGACGCATCCCTGAAACAGGCTTCATTCTAGAGGTGATCCATGGTTCCTCCCCCAAAGAAACAATAATGGCAACAGCGACCAAAAAAAAAAAAAAATTCTTGGCAGAAATGGTGACTAGCGCTCACTTGGGCTCAGTCGCACGTTGCAGAAGCTCATCTTTAGTGGGAGCTCCAGGCTACACACGGCTTTGGCTGTCTGTTGGCTCCACGATTATTCTGGGTGTGTTCACCTTCCTTGAAAAGGGTGTGGATCTCACTAAATTCAGGGCGCCAGAGTGTCCTGCTGGCTGCCCAGAAAGGGCTGGTCTTGGTCAGCAGTCTTGAAGGAGCCCCTGGTGGCTTCGGGCACTTTCCCAATGGAGGATGCCAGCCTGGGTGCCACTGTCTCTGTAGTGTTGTTGGGAACAGGGGACCCGGACTCAGGCACCCCAGGCGATCACCTGTGTGATTCCACCTCCCTAGGCCTCAGCTTTCTCTCTGGGAAATGGGGTGGCGATGGTTTATAAGGCTGCTGTGACATGCTAACTGTCATGAGCAGCATTCTTCCCACCCCATCCTAGATGGCAATGGACTCTGGGCCAAGCCCTCAGGAGGCCAGCCTGGATCACTCTCCAGAGAGCCACAGGGCTGGAGGGCCTTGCCATCGACCTCCATCCCTGTCTCCCACAGACTGACCTCACTCAGCTCATAGGGAATGAAGAAATGACAAACACATATGCAGGAAAGCTAAGATTAGCTAGGCCATGGGCTCCGATGGAGAGACAGCATCAGTTGGGAAATTCAGTGTGTGTTTATTATATACATAGATGGTGGGGGGTGTTAGCTGATGTCAGTGGGGTTCTCTGTTGAGTGCCGTCTCAGGATGGCAGTCATCCTGAGGAGGAAGTGGTGGACACTGACATACTTTCAACTGTGAGCCAGAGGAAGGCCTTGCTGTTGCTATGGGTCTTGAGCCTTGGCGTCCCAAACGTGGCCATGCTCTTGTTGCAAATGCTCACTCATCCAGGGGTACACTCACTCCCCAAACAGGACAGGTATCTCTTGAAGGTGTCCTTTCCCCACCACCCCCTACTCTCGTGACACCATCTATCAAATACTTCTCCTGCAGATGGAGAAGTAGAGGCTCATGGGAGGAAAGGACTCAGCCAAGGATGCAGGGCACAACACAGCGCAACTAAGAATCCAGTTCCAACCTCTCTGCCGAGCCCTCCCGCTCTGCCTATATCTCCTCCCATAACACCTTTGTTTCCTTTCACCCATCTGTATCTCGTGTGTGTAGGGGCAGGGATTGTGGGCACACGTGCCACTGCGGGTATGTGTATGTCAGAGGACAACCTGTGGGAGTTGGTGTAGGTCCCAGTGATGGAACTTGGGTCCTTGGTGGCAGACACCTTTACTGCTGAAGCTGTTTCAATAGCGCCTCCCCT